CTGCATGGATATAGGAGCGGTTATTAGCATGCCAACAGGCAACTCATCCGAAATTGCTTCCTGAGTTGGGTAGAATAAAGACTTTTTCAGGTGTTTCACCACTCCACTTCGCTTTTCCGCCACTTTCCCCACTATTAGCACCCCTGCTACATGTTAGACCGAGTACCAAGTTATCGTCTATAAAGCCAATCCCTTTATAGGACGCGCCAAGCATTCAATTTCTATCCGGAACCTAGAGGTCTTCGACCCGTATTCCTGCCATGGGCTGGCATTTGCATCTGCTTTACCTATAAATTAACTTCATAAAGGTGAAAGGCTGAGACTTCCAGCGTTGATAAGCTTCTATTTTTGGATGCGCCGCGCATTCTTCTTACTTTAATAAGCGTAATAGTTTTTGTATGCTGTCTGGCCTGTACGACGGATCGCGGAGGCCAGGTGATATTCAAGCCGGCGTTTTTATTGTCCCACTCATCCTCCCACGCATGCACCAACTAAGCAACCTACGACAGACAGAACATTCGGGTTCCTAATGGGGTCCATTTAATTTGACTCCTAGACACAGCGCCTAGTCAGCAGCACCATCTGTCACCGCCACCGAACCCCCCCCCTCCAGCTATACCTTCTTCGCCCAATTCCAGAGAATTCCACCCTGGCTTTTCAAGTCCTTTTAAGCGCTCAGTGTTGTCAGTAGAAGGGAAAAGTTCTACCCTGTGGGTGCAACCTTTCTGATGCCAATTGTGTTAGGGGCCATAGCCATGATCTCCGACCATTTTCCCACTGGGCGAGTCACCATCCACGTACGGTGGCAAACGTGATTCTGGCTGCAGTGGGGATAAAGAGAGACTTGCATTCCTTTCCGCTGTGGGCGTTTAATTACGCCTAACGATGATTACTTCACGCGGTACGTCTTTTCTTTGCCCCCTTAATAATTTATGAGGCCACGCGTTCTTCGGCCGGTCCATTTCCGGTGCTGAAAATGAGCCGGAAGGGGATGCTTCTGGATTCCACTCATTTTTCTTCCACACATGCTGGATCTTCAATTAGGCGAATGGGTACTAATTGTTATATACGGGCGCATTTCTGCAGAAGACAAAGGCTTAACAAATGGATTCCATGAAAGAAAAATCTGGTGACGAGAGAGGGGGGGTGAGCATTTTTCACTTCTGCTACCACTCATCGACGTTTCAACCCATCTAGACCCTTCTCCTGAAATTGACAGGTTTTACCATGATGGCTTGACGAGCTTGCTCCAGCTTCACAAGAGTTCACAGGTTTCACCAGAGTGAGACTTGTAAACCGGAACTAGTGAAGCAACGAAAGTGCAAAATGCCCCCCGTAGTCGAACTGCGCAGAGGAATCTTATTTTTATAGGGCTGACTGCGGATGAACATTCCGTTCCACGTCTTATTACTGGTGGGGTAGGACGATTGCAGCGTAGAAGCGGCAACGGCTTTCATGCTTGATCGACTTTCATGCTTTTGCAGCTTCAATTTCATGTTGATGCTGAACCCCGAAGAGCTCTGTTATCGCAATCGTCAATGTAAAGGTCTGACTGAAGTAATGGGTGACATATCTGACGGAAAAACATGACTTGCTAATTCGACATGTTCGTTTGTCGCGATTATGCTGGATATGACACGGAGCATAGGAGGGACACACTTCTCCTTGGGGCGGATGGTTTCGAATTACCGGACTCGGCTACTTCATGATAAGCTACTGCTCCAGCATAGAAGCCGGTGACCGCTTAAGGTAACGCTCACACACAGGTACGGGGTGAGGGGAGGGAGTGATGAGGAACAATAAAAAACACTTCTCTCACGGGTACGGGGTGAGGGGAGGGAGTGATGAGGAACAATAAGAAACACTTCCTCTAAACATTGCCTCGGATCGCAGCAGGACTTTTCAGACATTCATCCCCAAAAAGGGCACATCATCGCCGCGGAAAGTAGCGGCATCAGCGCCCCTTCCCCTCCCTAGTACAGTCATAGGGGCGAGCTGGCCGTCCACAGATTCCATCTCTAGAGCATTCCATCAGTGGTACAATATTTGACAGAATAACCACAGGCAGAAGAGGGATCGGATCAGCCCAGTCCCGAGTTGCTGACATGACGATATTCCTACAGAAGCTGATGTCAAGGCGGAAGGACGATGAGCGCAGAGGCGACATGAGGACTGACAGGAGCAAAGTGACCGCTGGAGTCCGCCTAGCAGAAATCTCTCTCATCGAGGTTGGGCGCGAATATCGGGTGACTTGTAGGACGAATCACGTTTTGCTCTCTCCGCGCGCTGAAGTCACACTTACTGACTTGTCCTGAGGGGTCAGCCGATGAGGAAAATAATTGGGATAGAATAGTGCCTTCTCGCCCTTTTACAGTGCGTGAAGTACGACCCAAGCGCCCGAAAGTGCATCTTTCGGTCTAGATCTCTTCTCAACGGGCCGCCTCGATCTAGCATCGTTTCCCGGTTGGTGTACTCATGACGTGACTGTCTAACATTATCCACCAAGTAATGATATTACACGTCTTGTATTCGTGACTAAGCACCATTTAGTTGGTCCATGACTGGATGGCTGAACGTTCAGAATTGGCCAGTTTATGAAAAGTGCCATGTACTTGAAGACAAACTGTTGCATATTAAGGGTAATGGCGTTTAATAACGAACCTATAGTCGCCAATAGACTCTCCGGGGAAGAAAACAGCAAAATGAAATCTTAGAGGGCACCATAAGTACCCTCTGGCAGCCTCACTGCACGAGTTCTCTTAACCTGCTCGTTTTGGGCCACCAAAGCGATATACTGCCACCTCTGGCTCACTCGTCGTTTCTTCGCGTCATCTACTGCTTCACTGCCATCTCGCAGTGAAACAAAAGAAAAACACGGTGTAAAACTGAACTCGTGACAGAACGTGACCTTCGAGTGGGCGGGACAACTAGGGAGGTTTCAGAACTGCATTTATGAGGGCAGCAGCGTCTTCGTTACTCTTGTGAATTCGCGAAACTGGGACAGGACTAGAAACTGAGGGCCAGACTACTTGTACAAGGAAGGATGTCTGTGAATCGCCTGAGCGCGGGGACTGTTTTTTTACTGATTGCGAGAATCGTAATCTCAATGGAAAGCTGCAGAGCCAGTGCTCCTGAGTCGACGCAACGATATGAATAAACCAGTAGATGATCAAAGACTGCAGCAAACCGGTACATGTGGGCTGTAAGTTCCGGCGAACATGGCTTCTGGAGGACCTTCACCAGTGTATTGACAACAACAGTCCTTCAATCCACTCTACAAGCCGGTTTCATAGTGATATTCTCATAGAATCACGTCGATTCGCAGAAGACTGGACCTGGTTGCTTGGCAAAGCCATCCTAACTGGGACACCCAAAAGGAAGAAAGATTCCTCCTCGATATAGCTTCTGACAACTTGATTACAGCGTCAAGAAGAATTTTAGTAAAAAGTTGATGGGAAATGGGTGCAGATCCCCTTGGCAACGCTATATGTTTTCAATTCAGTAATAATTTTGAGGAAAGGAGAATTTTGAGGGGAGTGTGGTATCCCTAGGGATTTAAATCATGGTTGCAGTAGTGGAAGGACTAATGGCACACCTACGTTGATCGAAACCTAGTGAGGGTGACCAAGACCTTGTCAGCAGTTAGAGTGTAGTATTAGAGCAGTGACAAGGTGCGCTTGTATGTGGACGGTCAATTGACGTAAAAATGGATAAGATTTCTAGCTGGTCAGCCTGACCCCCTCCCCACCCGGGATCAGTCAAATGGAACCGAATCGATTGACGACAATTTGCTCAAACAAAGGCTGGGCAAGTCATAGGCATGGGCCAAATATGCATTTGAGGGTCCCTTCAACCTTGAATAGAAAAACATAATCGGTAGAACGTCCAAGGAGTGTATTATTGGCTTAAGCACAGTAACTTCAACAATGGTATGACCTTTGGAGCCTTTGCGCTCTCTATGACATTCGAAGACGTGGCGCATTCTAGAGCGGCTATCTATGTCGTCAGCTTCACGTTTTTCCCCACTATATGATAAATTCAAGTAGATCAAGGGGAGAGGGTGAATGATATCTAGTTGATCGGCTTTTCTTCGGAGTAGGCGGCACTTTCTGCTTCTATTGAGAACCGAAGTGACTTTTGGACGCCATACAATGAATTGTGGAAGCTAGCCGATATACAATCCAGTGTTCTTCCTTCTGCCAGAGCAGGTTGTTGCCCACTTTCCCACTCTGAAGGTGCAGGCAGGTAAGCTGGCCTCCGGCTAGAATGATATTAAGCCCGACCTGTGACGGTGCGCTGGTTAAACAGCGGCACTTGCCTTTGCGCCACCGCTGACGTGGAGTGGATAGTTCCTTTGCAATTTAATGGAAGCTGAAGGCCATCCATATAGACGATGGTTAGACTTTTTGCGCCTGCGTACAACCTCTATCTACTACTGTAAAAGCATGTGGAAACTTCCTTGCCCTTCCGTGGGGCGCACTGGAGTCGCTTTGATCTGACGCCGATTCCGATCTCGGAGGGTGGTTACGACCTCTCCTGCCTAAATTGCTTGTCAGCCTCTTGCTGCCATCTTGTGTTCTTTATTTACAGGATATGTCAACGGTGAACAAGCCGCATTCTTCAATGGGTCCACGGAGTATTTCTATCTGAACGGTGGAACCGAGCCGTGAGTTTACAGTTTTCCGGCTTGAAGACATTCACGCTGTTTGGGTAATCAGAGTCAGGCCTGCCGTTGTGCTTTGTCCGTTGATACGATGCTCTTCTCTGAGAAGGCGAAGGGTAGGACTGTGTGTCATCGAAGAAAGCGCAGTAGTGGACTCTGCTTCCCATACGGCCGGCGTGCTTTTGAGAAACCCAATTTGAAGAGGAAATTTCAGGGTTTTCTCGTCAAAGACGTCACAATTTTCGTTCGAATTTTCGAACATCGTCGACAGATGGAGTTATTTGGTGGGAATCGGAATGGTCTGGTTCAGACTCAAGCGATTTTCTCATCATTCACCTCAGAGGAGGAATGGTGAATATCGCTGTGAACCTCGGAAACGACACTCTGAAGTCGGTGGCAACAAACCTTGCCGTGATCAGTGGAAGATGGCATCGGGTGGCTGTTGAAAGGTACGTCACGATTCTTCTGAACTGCTTTCTTGCTCGGAAATTTTTCGCTATGTTGATACATACACTGTTTATCGTAGATGGAGGCGTCCCAAGTCACCATACTTTTGGCGGCATCAGTTCTACTCAAATGGTCGGCTCCTCCCTCCTGGAAGAGAAGGAGAAACAGGCGATGGTACCGCATCGGAAAGTAAACGAACCCCTCTGCCCTCGCTCCGTAAGGCAGTGGGCACCGGGGCAGGAGCGAGGCGCGTTTGCTTGCCAAGGTCAATTTGGTGGAATAGTGCGAGAGGGCGTTCCCACTCACCACTTACACCAATGACGCTGGTAACACCCGTCCACCCCCAGCCATCGTGCGTAAGTACTGTGTAAGTGGCCAATCCAATCTGGAGTCCACCGCTAGCGGAAGAGCCTAAAAAAGCTTCGTCGTGGGTCCATCGTTATGTTCTTCCACCCCTTTCCGGGACCTGACAACCGTTGTCATTTGGCTATCTGCACTTGTCTTTCGTGGCAGGACGAAGGCAGTCATGTCATCGCACTTGACAATAATTTTCTTGTCATTGTGCTAAAATAGATCTCCCTTTTGCGGTAACGTAGCTGGTTGGCGAAGGAGGCCATTCATTAGCGGCAGAAGCAATGGAAGGAAGGACGGGAGTCTTTTCTTCGAGTTTCTTCTTCGAAGCATATTTTTGAGTAGTGGCTATATCTTCTGTACAGGACCATTACTTGGTGATTCTGGGAGTTCACAGGCTTAGGCACGATAATTCGGTACTAGCTCAAAGATAGTAACAATGGTGCTATATAGAGTGACGAAAAAGCGAAAGCAAACAGCCAGACCTCCTGCGGAAAAGGCGTTGTGCTGAACGGCACTGGACAAGCAATTATTAGACGAGGTTCTCGTTCGGCATGTCCGTTCAACAGCCTTGCGATAGGTACGGGCCTGCGCTTGATGAATCAAGCAACGTATCACATGAATTGTAATTTCATAAACTGAAGCGATAAAAGTGCCAGTGTCGATATGACTGTGCGGCCATTTGTGGGCGGGAGGTTGCGCTGGTAGGCGTTTGGATCGAAATTTTGCCCCTTAGTTGGGCTCTATATCGGTGCCCTTTGTTGGCGCCACACAGCGCCTGCTGGGGAGGCACAATATTTTTTCGTGCTAGGCGTATCGACCCTGCACGACTTGCCGACTTATCGTGCCATTTGCTAAGCTTTCGTTAGTGTAGAGTACAGGGAGGGGCTGCCGAGAAGTCCCTTACCGCACTACCTTTCAATTCTATTCATGCGATTTGTAGCCATCCAAGACACGTTTTGTAGCCGTAGCACTACGCAGATAGAGAATAAGTAGAAAGTTAGTACAATCGTCTCGGGGAACCGAGAAATGATAAAAAAAATATAAAAAAACAACGAAAACTCAAGCTGAGAACCTCATCGATTGTGGGGTTGCAAGGATTTATGAATCTTTTGACACGTTTTTTTTTTTGCAGGCAAGCATGAAACCACTGTTGATTATCCGATGGGACAAAGTGACGACAGTTGTTTCATCTCCAAAGGCCAACCAGCTCAATACGAATGGCCTTGTTTACATAGGTAAGTAGACTTCTTCGAGGATTTTCGTTGAGTCAAGTTGGGGAACTTTGCAAAGGACAAACTCGCCATGGGGAGCAGGAGCTGTGCTTCACCCTGGGCGTACCATTATGCTGGGGATTTTGTACGAGTTGCTACGACACCTCTACCCTCTCAAAAGGTTGGGGGGGGGGCTGTACGACACCTGGCTCAGAAGGGATGGTACGCACCCTCTTTCTGGAAAGCCTACAGTTTTATGCCAGAAAAGCGTAACAGCCAAATAACAAAAATTTCCCAAATTTAAATTGAAAGAAGTGCAAACCCTGCTGTACAAACTCACCAGAAATATATACGAAAAAAAAGTACAAATTACAAACATTACGGATGAACTAGAAACGCGCCTCTCCCCGATATTATTGAAAAGGAAGTGTTTTTCTGGTTGTCTTAGCGAAGAAATTCCGTTAAGAAAACACTCAAGTCGCTTATACGCGAATTGCCACTGGGGGGCTTTCAAAGCATAAGGCACGATAATTTGATACTCGGTCTAAGATGGTAGCAGGGGTCCTATATAGTGGGGAAAATGATGAAAACGTGAAGTGGAAAAGCTTGAAAACCTGTGTAAAAACCTTTGTTCCACCAAAATCAGACAAACACTTGACGATGTCTTCCTGTTGTCATCGTGCCCAAGATAAGCACCGGCCTACGAGTAGAATGACGGAAAAAACTGCCTTTAGTATGCTCTCATATATCCCTGCAGCACCGCAACCACTTCATATCAAATCCTTCCGCTTATAATGTGCTCCACAAATGAAGCGATACAAGCGTCAGATACGGTGTTCCATTTGTGGGGAGGGGGGGGGGTGCCGCAAACGAGACCGATATCTAGTTGCTCCGGTCTGTATGTCCAAGCTTGACAGGGCCCTCTCAGGGGACCTTACTTGGGAAAGCGCCCCGCAGCGCCTGTTCAGGGGTGCCTAATTCTGTCATGCCGTCCTGAACCACTTGAGGATTCATCGTGGGTTTTGCCTTTAATATTTATAAATACGTGGGTGCCATCTGACTTCCCACTGGGGAGAGGGGAAAAAGCGGTTAAAATGCCAAAAAAAGTAGGATAATATCCTGTGTTTGCAGACCAGGATATTTGTGCAAGGTATAGAATTATAAAAATAGGTTACAAAATGAATAAACTACTAGGAAAGTGAATTTTCGAATGAGCTACGGGAATTAGGTTCGCTGTGGTGTTGCGAGCAGCAGCGAGTGACCTTCCTTGGAAGGAGAGGCTCAGAGGGTGCAGTCTATGCCAACTGATTTTTTTTTTCAAAGTTTTTTTCAGTCTTTCTTCTAAATAGTCCATTCAAAGTGCGTGTGATTGTCATGCAGTTCATGAAAGTAATGTGTTTGAGTTTGTGCGATGTTTTCAGCACCAATCGTTTGTGGGATTTTCTCAAACTAGCACAACCCTGCGGCAACGGCAAAGCCTAGAACGTTCTTAGTGAGAAAAAAACAGCATCTTTGAACACTTCCATGACCTGTCCCCTTGATTCATAGTTTAAACAACAACATTCTCAAATAATTGTCATTAAAAATAATGCAGTCAAGAAAAGGCATTTTTTTCCGGGCATTCCCCCGAAAACTTTCCTACTCCCGGGAGGAGCAAACCTGTGTGGGGATAAAACCACTAAGGTGTGCATCGTCTGGTTCTCTCATGTCTTGATGGCTAAATAAATAGAAGTTGAATGCGTGGCGATTCACCCAGAGCACAGTTGTATGCAGATGGCGTTCCCCAGAGCACCATGCTTTTCTTCAAAAATTTCGTAATGTAATAATAATAATAATAATAATAATAATAATAATAATAATAATAATAATAATAATAATAATAATAATAATAATAATAATAATAATAATAATAATAATAATAATAATAATAATAATAATAATAATAAATAATAATAATAATAATAATAATAATAATAATAATAATAATAATAATAATAATAATAATAATAATAATAATAATAATAATAATAAGAAGAGAGAATACTTTATTTTGAGC